TGCTAAGTACCTGCATGTCATAAGCATTTGAATTAAAATTACCATATTGAAATCAAATCTGTTTTTTAATTTTTATTTGGTGTGCGTTGGAACAGGGGTAGTCTTATACGGTGAGTATAGCCCAAACTCTATATTTTAACTGGAAAAGTTGGGGGTCGTCTTATACGCCCAGTTGTCTTATACGCCGGAATATACGGTAAATCTCCTGAAAGAAAATTCCCTGGAGAAGGTTGGCTATCCTTACACAGTAGAAGAGGAGAACAGTTTTTTTGGCACAAGTAGTCCTCGACTTACAGCCATTCTTTTAGTGAAGTTCAAAGTTACAATGGAACTTGAAAAAAAGTGACTTATGACAGTTTTTCGCACTTATAATCGTTGCAGCATTCCCCACGGTCACATGATTAAAATTCAGCTGCTCGGCAACTTATGGCGGTTGCATGTATTTATGGTGTCCCAGGGTCATGTGATCACTTTTTGCAACCTTCTGACAAGCAAAGTCAGTAGAGAAGCTAGATTCGGTTAACAACCATATTACTAACTTAACTGCAGTGATTCACTTCACAACTGTGGTAAGAGAGGTCATAAAATGAGACAAAGCTCATTTAACAACTGTCTTGCTTAGCAACAAAATATTGAGCTCAATTGTTTTTGTAAGTCATGGACTACCTGTACAGGTGACATGGTGTTTGGCTTGTCTGGAAGAGACCTGATCTGAATTCTGCTACATGTCACAAGTAATCTACAGGATCGAGATCAATCCACCTTAACAATCTATTATTCAATAATATTGAATTTACATATTCAGCAGCCTAAGGACCTCATCAATAATTATAATATACATGCATCAATTATCATTTGTTCCTACACCAAACCCAGACCAAGGAAACCTTATTAGGCCTTATTGTTATGAGCCATATAGCAGTTAAATGGAACATAATCTCATTCTGATTCTTAAAAGATGCAAATCTTTTGTGGGTTTTTCTGTAAAAGGAAAGAGCCATCATAGCTTGGCAGAAATGTTAGTGCAGATATAATCCTGATCAGGGAAGAGGGGTATCATCTGTACTGAAGTTGAAGAAATCCTTACTCCATTGTAATTCTTACCCATCAGTCCCATGAATGCAGAAATGGAAGAATTTATACGGGATTTTTATATTGTTTTGTCAAACTCCATCTTTAGGATTTGCTCCAGGGCTGAGAGGTAATCGCTCTCAGCAAATGCTTATCATGTTTTCCTTATTCAAGTCTTACCTCTGGGTTCCTGAATGTTGCAAATCACGATCTTGTTTGACAGCAAGAATGACACATGTGTGTAAATGAGAACCTTAATGTGACAAAACACTCAACTAGAGCTGTCACTTTCATTACAATTTCTAAGCAGGGTTTGATATTATATTCCCCTTAAAAGGGCTTCATTTTTTGCCTCTTGCCCCAAATACTAATAGATTTACTGACTGGGCCAGGAGGGCAGTAGGTGGGCTCTTTGCAACTGCAGTGCCTTGTGGGTTTGTTTTTCTATATTAGCAAGTGCAATCCATTGCATGTTGCTGAAGGTTGGTATTTGCAAAGAAACCTAGAATTACCGGTACATTAAATGCAAAAACAGAAAAAAACAGAACCCTGCATCTCTTTTGAGATGTTAAGTACTTGAAATTCACAGCTAAATGGAGACAAATCCTGTAATGTAAATATATCCCAGATTACCTTTCCAAATGAATCTTTCTTATGTAAATAACTCCCTTGAATATAGGCCACTTGAATTTGCACCAGTTCAATTTGCAAATGTTGCGTTACCGTCTTCCTTGCATCTAGTGTGAATGTAAATAAGTCATGCTAATAGTTTAGGGCGTGTGCTGTTTAGCAGTTTTGACTTGACAACAGGCAACTACTTCCACCTGTTACAAGATTTTAAAATTGCCTGCCACAAATGGACAGCTCCAGAATAGCAGGAAGTTTGTGTGTGACCTCCAAGGTCCCTTCCAACTTTATTATTATCATCATCATCATCGTTGTTGTTGTTGTTGTTGTTGTTGTTGTTATTATTAACCAGTTATTGTTTTAAGAACATCTAGGTCTGTGTTTCTCAACCGTGGCCCCTTGAAGATGTGTGGACTTCAACTCCCAGAATTCCCCAGCCAGCATATGATGGCTGGGGAATTCTGGGAGTTGAAGTTCAGACATCTTCAAGGGGCTAAGGTTGAGAAACACTGCTCTAGGTAGTACCTTATGCAGAACAGCCAAGTAATGAAAGCTACTATCTTTTCCTTCCAGATGGACTTGATGCCATTTGTTAATAAAGCTGGATGTGAGTGTCTTAATGAAAGTGATGAACATGGATTTGATAATTGTTTACGTAAAGACTCTACCTTCTTGGAATCAGACTGCGATGAGCAGGTATTACAACTTTCAAAAAATAATTAGGATGTCTGGACAATAATCGTTTATTTTTCAATAGAGCAAGTGTTTTCATCTGTGTGCTTATTCAAATCACCTGCTCTTGGTTCTGATTTAGAAGTAGACCCAAGGGAACAAGTAACCCAAAATTTGTGCAGCAATGTGTTGTCTACCATACATTTTGGCTTTCTGTTATCAATCTTTTTTTTCCCCTTTCCTCCACAGTTGCTTATAACAGTAGCTTTTAATCAACCAGTCAAGCTTTATTCTATGAAATGTCAAGGGCCTGATAATGGTACGTAAAAAAAAAAGTTATTCCTCAAGAAGAAGTTCTACTGGTACTGTTTTTAATTCTATGTTAATTTTAGTAATACAAAGATAAGCTACAGTTTTTATGTTCTCTGGTTCAGTCTAGTTCTCCACATTGCAGGACAGAGTTAGAACAAATTAATTGAAAATATAATCAATGCATGTAGAACTTGGAAAACAAACTATTTAGCCCTGCTTAAAGCAATTGCGTTCCAAAGTCACATAGATAAATTTGTCTTGTAATGGAACCATATCATTTTTAGTGTTACTTTGCCTTTGAGTACACAACATAATGTGCAGTTCTCATTAAATAATTAAACCATAAGCGCAATCATGTAAATGAAACCAGATTTTACCTTGATAGTGGTATTTACCTTTCACATTTAGGTTGAGCTTAATGGTTTGTCAGTAGAGTTATACAAGATGTTTGATTTTTTTAAAAAAATCTCTCAGGATAAAATTTCCCAAAATATCCTATTTCAAACACAAAAGTGTCTGAACTTAGAAATCATTTTAAAACTCCCACAAGCTCTGGCTCATGTACAATGCTCAAAACCACCTCCTCGTGTTCAATGCAGGAGATCTCATGATGTGTTATGCTTTTCTATCAAGATAATTTGAATTAATCTAGGTTTCTGAAAAGGATTATGTTTTTATTATAGGTCAAGGTCCGAAATATATAAAAATATTTATCAATCTTCCTCGATCAATGGATTTTGAAGAGGCAGAAAGAAGCGAACCCACTCAGGCTTTGGAACTAACACCAGATGACATTAAAGAAGACAGCATAATTCAGCTTCGCTATGTAAAATTTCAGAATGTTAACAGTGTAACTGTGAGTACAAAGTCTTGACTTCCTTCCCAGTAACATAGTTGTGCCAAGTTGAACAATACTGTAGTTTGAAACCTGCATTGGCATCCTAGAATTCACATTCAAAATTAGCTGCAAACAAACTTGAGTCCCACCAATTACGTTCTGCAGACTTAAAATTGAGTCATTTTAGTATTCCATGGTTTTAACTCATTTCCTTTGAGCTTGGCTCTTTCATGGATGGATGACACTTTTACATATGTAACTCAGGGCTCATCTCTTCCCTTTTAGTTATTTGTCCAATCTAATCAAGGTGATGAAGAAACAACAAGAATTGCGTATTTCACGTTTATTGGAACACCAGTTCAAGCAACAAACATGAATGATTTCAAGCGGGTAAGTTCAAATTTGGCTTCCAAACCCAAAACAATTATTTCTTGAATATTGTGTGAATCTTATACATATATTCAAAAATAACTGGCAGTGTTTTCAAAAAAGAAAAGTTGAATTTGTTTCTTTGGAGTCTTTATTCTTAAAGAGCCAGAGAACGCATGGTTGTTCTACAAAGCTTATAATGACTGCTTAAGCCAAAGATTTCCATGATTGGTTATTTACCCCTAAAAGGCCAAAATGAATGTGAGGAAAGCATGTAAGAAACCAGGAAACCCATTGAAGAAATAACATAACATATTCTTTATTCACACTGATTCTTCACTCCTGCTTAATCACTCTTGCAGCCTTCAGTGCATAATTTCTTGAATTTTCTCTCCGATTACAAAAAAATTAAAAAAATTACTTCTATAAAATGAATCTGACCTCTTTGGGACAGTAAAACTGGCTTTGATACTGGATTCTTAGTTGTACAGTGAAACCACCGTTTGTTTATGTAAACAATTTGTTAAGGCCTTTCATTTTCCAAAAGTAACATTGGACCAAATACAGAAGTTAAAATCACAAAATAATAATTAAGAAAACTAAATATCCAAGTCCCTAAACACAATCCGACTCATAACCATATTAACCAGCAGAACGCACTTAACCGCATGGCCCAAGTTTTAGAAGGAATCAGCAATATCATCATCTAGCAGTGAGCCTGCTTTTTAAAAAAAAAATAATAATAATTCTGGATTAACACAATAAAGTAGAAATGGGTGTTTGTTGACTACGTAATTAAAGTGCCTTAACAATAAACTTTCTGAAGTGAAAGCAGAAAACAGGAGTAGTCGATCATTCTTTTGGGAATTCTGACTTAAGGAGTACATTTAAACCTTACAAACATGCATGGTGTGTGTGATGACTTTATTCTGAAATGTTTGAGGCTTACATACACATCGTTTCTTATTCCAAAGGCTAAGTTTGATTGTACATGTTTTATTTACAAATGTCAGAGTTGTTATGACAATGATTTTTCCCTTTAAATGTTTCTTTCTCCAGTCAATACCTTTTAGCCCTTTTTTTAAAAAAAAAACAGGTAGCTCTCTTTGATCCACATTAGAAAGATAGAGAGGCTGGAAGTGATAAGATGCTTCCTTGGTTGAAAGTTCCTTGCTTACAATGGCTTCTCTTGGTGAATAGCAGCAACAGCAGTTGACGCTGCTACCAGGAGTGATTATTACATTAGCCTGTAGGCCTATCCTTAGCCGAGGCAGCTCTGGAGCTGAAGCTTTAGGGCTAATGCTTTGAAAAAGAAGTAGCTGAGAATTCTACCAAAGCCCCTTTAATGATGCGAAGGAGGGTATAATTAAAAATGCCTCTTAATTTGTGGTACATAATAAACAGCAGGAAAGATGCTTGGAAACAAAGAGTAATTGAGAAGTTCCTGGGGCTAAACTGGATCCCCAGCTTAGCCTTGTCCTTCTCTAATTCTTAGGTATAGAATATCAAGTAGAGCTAACATGAATGCAAGATGAGGATTGCATTCATAGTTTTGCAGTTCAACATATCTTGGCTATGTGGCAACATGCCATTCATTTATTTTGCTCTGCCACAGTTTTCTATAAATCTCAGTATGAGAGTCCTTAGAAAATACCCTATCACTGAATCATTCATTCTGGGCTGTAGGAATGAGATTCTCATGTTTTTAGAAGGGGAGAAAAAGTGTCCAACTTTCATTTTCCTTTTACCCTTTCAGTCCCTCTTAGTAAATTCTATATCTACCCCTTTTCAAGGGCTATTAACTTGCCAGAAGAACTTCACCTGCTAAACTCTTAGAATGAGCAAAATCCCACTAAGAGGGACTTGAGAATTTTCCATTTCCCTTTGGACCAGGGCAAAATACCTCTGGATTGTACTACTCAGGGACAATTGGGGGGAGAGGGGTCCTAGAAATAAATCTTCTGAAATGTTCTGAAGGTATTCTAACCCTGAAACAAGTTTGTTTTTGTCCAGTATATTATGTGTATAACATCTCAAACTACACCTCCGGAACTGCATACTTCAGAGATGAGTTTAGCAAAGTCCAGAGGGAAATAGAACATTCTGGAGTATTTTGAAATACAGTAGTTGATTCCGTGATCAACAAATTTGTACATTGCTACTACCTGTAATACCTATTATGCTTCTAGCTGCTTTCTTAATTTGAAATGCTAGCTAAATCTCATATACCATATAACAAAATTCTGCATGGAAAATATAACTGTGGCTTTTTGAAGTGATTATATTAATTCTGCGATTTCTGGATCTACTTTTAAATACCCCTTACTGGAATATGTGACTTGCAAAGCTGAAAGGAAAAAAATTGTCTGTGTATCACAGATATGTTTTCCTGGGAATCCAAATATATGGAGATTCTTCTTAATCCTTGCTGGGTTACTAGTTGATGAAAACTTAATCCAAAATCTCTCCAGTAAATTGTGCCTCATTTTAAAGACTTGTAGCGTGAATGGGTCCATATCTGAAGAAGATTTCTTCCATCCTCTCTAACTTGGGCATTGGCTGATCTGTTACTACAATCCATAGTGCTTGTTGTGAATGTAACAGAAAAGAGCAAGTGCTCTGGAAACACTTGGCAGACAAATCAGATATCAATAATATCTTGAGATTTAACTCGCTCCTCATCTCTTTCATCCAGAGTATTAAATGCAGTTTAGGAATTATTGTTCACTGCATGTTTTTTACCCATTGTGTGCAAGTTTAAATTTGGGGAGGGCAAAGAGTTTGTCTCATAATGACCTGCCTCGCCTCCCTTTTTATTGCTTTCTCCTCAGCTTTGGCTTTTTAAATTAATTATTATTAATTATTACAATAAAAAAATAATTAAATGCATTTTAATACATTGTTTAGTTTTTGAATTCTGAATCAAATGTGTTAAATTAAAATCTAATCAAAATTTATTAATTAAAAATAATTATTGAAATAACGTCCATACGAGGAAGGATTGTAAAACTCCTGCCTCTCTCTTTGGGGTGAAACGTGTTTGGGGAGCTAATGCATGTGACATTCAGGTAGCTCTCTTTGGCATGGCACTCCATTTTCCCCTGTTCATTGGCTACTTATTTTCTCTGCTTCATTGTTAACACTCTATTTTATTATTTTTCAGCATTTCCCTGGCCCAAAGAAATAAAAATGCAGAAGATTTTTGTTCTTAAATGAGCTTTCTTTCCTTTTTGTCTGCTCCCTCTGCTCCTCATTTGCACAGTTCCACTGCTTTTGGTATCATCAATTCCTGCTCACCATCTTCTGGGACAGCTTTCCTTCCTCATTCTTTTCTCATGGACCTATCTTTGTTTTGACCATGCAGTTTTGAAATTCTTCTTTTAATGCACTGTTTTGGTTTTGAAATGCCTTCCTCTTCTCTTAAATGCTTCAACATTTCACTTGATAACACCATATTGGCATTTTCTGTGCCAGTCCTCGCAGAGAATAATGGAAGTTGAAGGGGGCACCAATGTTCTCTGTTCAGTCTGAATGATCTCTAGCTAAGCCTTTCCTGACAGGATTTCCAAGTTCTTACAGATCCTCGTAGGGCAGGGATTTTTCAACTTCTCAAGGTTAAATTGATATAACAGCATTTTGCTGGTCCAGAACATATATGAAGCTGCCTTAAATTGAGCTAGAATGTCCAGTTTTGTTAGATCTGACTGGCCAATTCTCTGAGCTATTTTGGAGAGCGAGATACTGAACTTGAGAGTGTCTTAGGCTGTGACTTTGAGTTATGGGCCCTTCAAGACATTGTCTGGATTGAGACCCTGTAACTCCGACCGTAATTTTCTCTGACAATCAATTTACTTTTATCTCTATTGTTACTTTCTGTGGGAAAATATTTCATATGATGTTTTAACTTACAATATAGCCTGGTGGTTCTTTCAGAAGATAATTGAATAGGAAGTTACCATCCAGCAATCAGATATGTTTGGGACCATACCTATGAAACTACACTCTGATGGGTTTGCCATCTGGATATTCTGAGAATTGTAGTCGTAAAATGCCTGGAAATTTGGGAGGGCTTTCAGTCTTGGTAAATGGACTCCAACAAGATAATTAAAATTAAAAAAAAATGTGCTTGAGTAATTGCTGCCTAAATAAGAAACCTTTCTTCCTTCCCCAGCATAATGATTATCATTTGAATGTTTCCACTTATGTCAATTTTCATTATTCATTTAGAAATCCAGCCTGCTCTGTGATGCTTAATGACAATACACCATCACTGAATGGAGTCTGTCAAAAAATTGCAACTTGGGCCGGGCCGCAGGTTGAGAGCTAATTTTAATTCCTAAAAATGATCAGATTAGCCAATTTCCCACCCGGCACTTTAAAAGCGGGAAATTATTGAATGTTTAATTCATGCATGTTATATGGGATTTGCACAATTCATAAACAAAAATGTGCCCAAATAATGAGGCATTAGGAATAAAAAAAATAATGCAGTTTTTTTTTCCTTTGGCATTATATGTATCAGTTATTGTGGTTAAGAATTCTTCAGATAGATCTAATTGTGTTGATAAACATCAATCCTGAAATGTTTAATTTTTCAGATAATACACATGGGCCACTTGAGCATTTCCCCTTCTGAATGGTATAGATTATTTTTATGCGGGGGAGGGGTGATTGATGCACCTCTGCTAACATCATAATTGTCTAATTTGTGGTTGTATCTGTTTAATCTAAACCAGAGTACCATGCTTTAATCAAAGCCAAGGAATAAATGTTTGTTTCACATTCCTGTCCAGTTTAATTTGGCTTTTTATATAACATGCTTAATTAAATCTTAACTTGTTTTTGTTTTCCTTCTGTACTGTTACATGACATTTTAATTCTTTGTTAGCCTGAATATTTTTGAGCGCCAATGTCTGCATGCCATTATATCTAGTCTAAAGATTAGCCTTTTCTTTTTTTAATGGCTTATATAGTGAATGATGATTGATTGATTGATTATGATTGATTATTTTTATGTAAGCTGGTTCCAGTTAGTAGATATATCCCTTCCACAGTCACCAGTTTTAATTTTGAGATTATGTTACACAAAGTTGTGGTAATTGAAACTGCCTCATTAAATGTTCAGTGTTTGTGTAGGGAGATTATGATATTAATGTTTGGGGCACAGTATCAATTTCTATTCTCCCACTGAACATGATGGAAGGTAGACAGAATTAGTAGACCAGGAGAAGACCAGTATAGTTCCTCAGTGTGATCTGCTGAGACAATTTCCAGGGACCACATAAGCACGAAGCCTGGATGGGATTCAGTTACCTTCCCCACCTCTACATCCCACATCCATGAAAGTGTATTTAAGAGTTTCTGGGCCAAGAATAACACCAAATGCTGTTTGCTTCTATTCTACTCATTTTGCCTTTGCCTTTACCCACCAGCCTGGTAAATTCCAAGTGTGCCTTGTGTTGAAGGAATCAAGTGGCTAGATTTGGTGTAAATCAGGGATGGTGAACCTTTTAGCTCGGTGTGTCAAAAATTTGGAAAATGCCAAACTTGACTCTGCTAGTGTGTCACATGCATCTCTTGGACAAAAGTGATACAGTTTTCTCTCCCCCCCCCCCCCCTATTGGCAGCAGTGCTGAGGCCGAGTCTAAAATACAGGGAGTGCTCTACTTCCAACCATTTAGTGTGGTTGTCGTTTAGAGCCTGTTCAAAGTTACCACAACATTGAAAAAGGCGACTTAATTACTGTTTTTCACACATTGTAGCATCCCTATGGTCATGGGATCAAAATTCAGACACTCGGCAACTGGCATGTATATATGACAGTTGCACTGGGATCACGTGGTCGCTTCCCAGCCAGCTTCTGACAATCAAAGTCAATGGGGAAACTAAATTCACTTAACAAGCACATTATTCACTTCAGTGGTTCACTTAATAACTGTGGAAAAGTCACAAAATGGGGCAAAACTCACTTAACTGCCTTGTTTAGCCATGAGACTGGTTCAATTGTGGTCCTAAGTCGAGGACTATCTGTAGAGGGTCTAGAGCAGGGGTAGGCAACCTTGGCTCTTTTATGACCTGTGGACTTCAATACCCAGAATTCCTGAACCAGCCATGCTGACTCAGGAATTCTGGGAGTTGAAGTCCACAAATCATAAAAGAGCCAAGGTTGCCTACCCCTGGTCTAGAGTCATTGCTGCTACTCAAAATGGTGAGCTTACACTGGACTGCAAGTCTTGGGGAATGGGGTGATTGCCCCCATGGCCCAGCACTCCCCAGCATTTGCCATACACTTCAGGCGGGCAATGTTCTCTTTCTGTTGAAGGCCTCTGTGGCCTACCTGAGGCTGCTCCCGATTGCACAAGGCCTCCATTCTTCAAACAGCTTCAGGGAATGCTCTTTTGAAATCTGAGCAGCTTCTGAAAACCGATAGAGGAGAATATTTGTAACTCAGGGTTGATCTGAGGGGTGATTGGTTGTTTTCTTGCAGACGTTTCATGATCTGAATTAGGTAACATCATCAGTGCTGCTGATGTACCCTAGTTTGGGTAATGTTGATGTCACCGATGGTGTTACCTAGTTTGGGTAATGAAACGTCTCCAAGAAAACAACCAAGCTCAGAGAGCACTAAGAACCCCTCTGAAAATTGAAAGAATACCCAGTTCTCACACAGTTTTTGGAGACTCTGGGGGGCCATGTGAGAGCACACCCCATTTTAACACAGCCTCCACAAATCAAGAATGAGCAGTGCTTTCGAGAATAGTTGTTAGGTGTAGGTGAATCCTGGCGTGTCACCCGAAACATTTTGGTGAATGCACACTGATCTATCAACGGTTTAGATGCCTCTTCCTCATGAACTTATCGTAGAAGTTGCAGGTCCCTACTGTACAATTTAACCATAAGGTGAAAGGTTGTGGAGCCATTGGAGATTTCTGGATTTTTGTGCTATTTCATAGTAATAAAATAGGTGATGCACATTGAGCTGTAAGCATTCGAGACAGCTCTGGAGGACAGTGTTTTGATCTGATTGGCATCCCTGTCATCATTTGAACTGGGCCATGCTTTCTTGGCTGAACATTAAAAGATCTTCCATTTCATCCTCTGCCACTTCTGCTCCCATCTCTTATTAAAATGTCTGTTGGAAAAAACATTGCAGTTACTTCTAGGTAGTTTCTTTAGAATGAGAGGAGGATCTATTTTATCTGCCTTTTCTCCAAGTGGTAACTTTCTCTTTCTCGTTCACAGGTGGTAGGAAAGAAAGGGGAAAGCCACTAAGATGCAACCAAGATGCTGGAAGGCCTTGTCACAGTCAACGTGGGATTTCACATTAGCTTCAGCTCATGAAAGTCACCCAGCCATAACCAGAGACTTGTCAGTCTGTTCCATTTTACTGCCATTACAAATAAAATCAGTGCATTTTGTTAATATGAGATTTCACTAAACGTGTTTTCTGTTGTAATCTTGGAACAAAAAAAAAATGTAAATAAAAATCATTAATTTTGTCAGAATTGCAGAGTGGAAGAGTTGCTGTGTCCCTTCAGTGATGAAAACCAGAATCGTACCTCCCGATTCATATAAGTTGTGTATGTGTGAATGTTTGATAATATAATTGTATGTATTAACGCCGATATAAATATATCTTCATAGTCTCTGGTTTTAGAGATCAGATTTTTCCAGTAAAAGTGATAAATGGTGATTCTTCTGAAATCACAGCTTATTCCTGAAGGTCAGCAGCTTAACTTGCTAGTCCAAGCCTTGTCTAAATTGACACTTTCAGAAATGTTGAACTGGATTGACTGGGAATTCTGAAAGCTGCAGAGCTAACTTACTTGGAAGGTTGTATTAGAGGCCGACAAAGAACTGCAGGCTCTTGTCTCTCAGTTTCTAAATTGCTGACAAATTTCCTCATTTGCATCTGTTTTTGTTTTCTTTTTTTTCCCCCATCTGGAGAAAGTAACTAGTGAGCCAGATAACATTATTTGGGGGTAGATTTGAATTAAGGGATGTTAGTTGCTGACTCTTCCCCATTTTAGACACATTTTATTTAAGAGGTCATGTTGAACAAAGCACACCCATTGAAAGAGCAGGAAAATGCGAGTTTTCCAAAAGAATGGGACTATTTCCTCATTCATCATTCATTCTCGAGAGACTATGGTATCGTGCTCTGGAAAGAGGACCTAAGGCAGCATCTGGTGTGGCTAAAAAGGCCAATTTGAAAATGGCAGTCCCTTTCACACTGAGGGCAGATACAATCTGTTCCCTGTCCAGCCCCCAGATTTCGCTGGTTCCGGGACTGCCTCTTTGCCACAGCCTGCCGCACAAGTGTCTCTTCGAATTGGAGAAGGCCATGCTGCATCTTTAGCCTCCAGGCTGAACGATCAGAGGTCAAGGATTCCCAGCTGTTAATGTCCATTCCCAAGGCCTAGGTCCCTCTTGCAGATATCCTTATATCGCAGCTCAGGTCTCCCTCTGGGGCGCTTTCCCTGCACTAGTTCTCCATACAGGAGATCTTTTGGAATCCGACCATCAGCCATTCTCACGCCATGCCCAAGCCAGCGTAGACGTCGCTGTTTCAATAGTGTATACATGCTAGAGCAGTGGTTCTCAACCTGTGGGTCGGGACCCCATTTGGGGTCGATCGACCATTTCATGGGGGTCGCCAAGCAAGGCTGTCCGCCATTTTTTTTCCCTTTTCCGGCAGGTGCCTTACCTCCCTTGGGCTGGGCCAGCTGGTGGTCGGCCTGCTCCGTCTCTGCCGCTTGCCAGCTACGCCTCGGCTGGCGCAGGGGGCGGAACCACGCATGCGCGGCGCTCCCGGGCAGGGAAAGTCCTTGACTTACGACCGGTTGGGTAGTCCTCGACTTACGACCGGTTTAGTCCTCGACTTACAACCAGTTTAGTCCTCGACTTATGATCGGTTTAGTCCTTGACTTACGACCGGTTGGGGTCACGGCATTAAAAAGGTTGAGAACCACTGTGCTAGAGATTCCAGCACATTTCAGGACTGCGCTATTTGGGACTTTGTCATGCCAGGTGATGCCGAGAATACGTCGGAGACAGCGCATATGAAAGGTGTTCAGCTTTCTCTCCTGCCGTACATGAAGGGTCCAAGACTCACTGCAGTACAAGAGTGCTCAAAACGCAGGATCTATAGAGCTGAATCTTTGTATGTTCTATTGTATGTTCTATTACCTGAGTGATAGTGAAAAGAATGAAATCACTCTTAAGTCCGCTAATGTAAATGAGTTTTCTGGCACTGCTTTCTGACCAGCTTGTTTCTAACTAAGCCATGTGTACAATTCTATTGTTTCTTGAACTTCTAGCAACCTTTTGAGTACGGGTAGTCCTCTACTTAACGACCACAATTGAGTCCAAAATTTCCATTGCTAAGCAGGGCAGTTGTTAAAGTCAATTTTATCCCATTTTACGACCATTCTTGCCACAGTTGTTAAGTGAATCACTGCAGTTAAGTTAGCAACACGGTTGTTAAGTGAATCTGGCTCCCCCATTGACTTTGCTTGTCAGAAGGTCGCAAAAGGTGATCACATGACCCCGGGACTATGCAGCCGTCATAAATACATGTCAGCTGTCAGAATTTTGATCATGTGACCACGGGAATGCTGCAACGCTCATAAGTGTGAAAAACTGTCTTGAGTCATTTTTTTTCAGTGCCCGTTGTAACTTTGGTCACTAAATAGATGGTTGTAAGCCGAGGACTACCTGTATTAATAATTTATTAAATTTCTATGCTGTCCAACTCCCAATGATTATGGAGGGTTTACAACTGATAAAATGTTTTTTAAAGAAAAAGAAAAACGTGCACACCTAGCACAAGACTGCAAAACAATGATGGCAAAGAAAACGAACCTCAGAAGGGACAAGGGAAGAAAGGGCCATCAAAGTCCTGACCAAATAAATGGTCAAGTAGTAGGTTTGTCACTATCCCAGATACTTGTGCAAGTACTTGTACAGTGCTTGTGCATAGTATTACTTAACACAGATGCAGAAGTATCACTAAGATTTGTCACATCTGGTGTAGTAATCTTTGAAATCAGAGGAGAGACAAGACATAACAGCTGAATTTGTGTTCCTGGTATATGTGTCAATCAAGCCATTGGAATCAAGGTAGGTTGTGTCTTACACTGTTTGGAGTTTAAACTAGTAGGCAAATGCAATTAGCTGGATTCCCCAAAATTAGCTGGGTTGCCAAAAGTGAACACTGTGGTCAGGCACCTTGCTAAGTTCACGACTTCCACTTACTAACATTGTAGATAGAGGTGGCAATGTTTGGGAGGAAAAGGCCTTTTTTATTTAATTAGCAGAATCTCTGGCTTTATTTTAGAAAGGTTCACCTAATAAACTGGCTGCTTCCTGCTACATTTTAATCTTTGCGTTGAGCACATTGCTGCTTCTCACCTATTGTCCTAATTTTTTTTTTAATCTTTGCCCTGGTAAATGACAGGAAGATTGAATGGCAGGAAGGGTTTGATTCCCTTTCCACAGATGTTTAAACGGGTAAGTAATAATAATATAATAATAAAGTTGGAAGGGACCTTGGAGGTCATCTAGTCCAACCTCCTGCTCAGGCAGGAAACCCTTTACCATTTCAGACAAATGACTGCCCAGTCTCTTCTTAAAACTTCCAGTGTTGGAGCATGCACAGCTTCTGGAAGCAGGTTGTTCCACTGGTTAATTGTTCTAACTGCTAGGAAATTTCTCCTTAGTTCTAGGTTGCTTCTCTCTTTGCTTAGTTTCCATCCGTTGCTTCTTGTCCTGCCTTCAGGCGCTTTGGAAAATAGCTTGACTCCCTCTTCTTTGTGGCAGGCCCTGAGATATTGGAACACTCCTATCACATAACCCCTGATCCTTCTTTTCATTAAACTAGACATACCCAATTCCAGCAATCGTTCCTTATATGCTTTAGCCTCCAGTCCCCTAATCATTTTTGTTGCTCTTCTCTGTATTCTTTCTAGAGTCTCAACATCTTATGTTATGTGTCTTAATGCCATTTTAAATGTTGAAATTAATACCTTTTCTTCTAGCCTTGTCTGTACTTCATAATATTGCCCAATGTTCAGGACCCCAACACAGTTATGCATCCCTGAAGCAGAAGTAATAGTAATAGCCCTTAGACTTATATACCGCTTCACAGTGCTTTACAGCCCTTTTTGAGCAGTTTACAGAATCAGCCTATTGCCCCCAACAATCTGGGTCCTCATATTACCAACCACGAAAGGATGGAAGGCTGAGTCATCCCTTGAGCCAGTCAGAATCGAACAGCTGACAGTCAGCAGAATTAGCCTGCAGTACTGCATTCTAACCACTGTGCCACCACGGCTCTTAAACTAAATATTGTATGATCCAGAGGCGTACTGCTGCTTAAAAGAAAAACTAAATACATTATCTTCATTTTGCTCCACTCAACCTCAGTCGGAATGAAAAGAGGATTATTATCCAGCTATGGACAGTCATATTACGTATGTCAAGCCATATTGGAGTTCTGATGAAGACAATATGTCAACTGAACAAGGATGGTGGGAAGGGTCTGAATAGCAAGCGTCTGTGAAGAACAATTCAAAGGATCTAGATTTTATTTCATTTGGAGAAGATCAAGAGACACAATGAATGAATGAATGAAT